GAGGGGGGCGGGGCCTGGGCGGAGCACCCGGCTCAGGCCGCCCGACCAGCCTGCGCACACCTCTCACCTCTGAGGGCCGAGCTGGTCGCCCTGGCGAGGTCTGCTATGCTCTGTGAAGGTTCTTTCGTTATGCAAACGTGTGCCGGGTACCAGCGGTGCAGGGAACCCCGGTGTAGGGGTGCGTGCGCGCCCTGGCCCCCAGTGTGTGTAAGGGGGTGGGGGGGCAGGCGGTCATGTGTTAGTGAATAAATCACCCTGGGTATGCCACAAAAGTGTGGAATCGCCGGGCGCTGGTGGCTCACGCCTGTAATCCTAGCTATTCAGGAGGCTGAGATCTGAGGATCGTGGTTCAAAGCCAGCCCGGGCAAGAGAGACCTTGAGACTCCTATCTCCAATAAACCACCAGAAAACCGGAAGTGGCGCTGTAGCTCCAGTGGTAGAGTGCTAGCCTTGAGCTGAAGAGCTGAGGGACAGCGCCCAGGCCCAGAGTTCAAGCCCCACGACCGACAAAAAAAAAAGAAAAAAGTGTGGAATCTACTTCTCAGTCAGCATTCCAGTCGAGATCTGGATAAATGGTCACTCTATGCAGTAAGGGGGTCAGCAGGGGACGGGACAAGCGCCCTGCAGTGACCCGGGGGGACTGAAGGTGTATAGCCAGGAGGAGAAGAATGACCTGGAACAGAGTTTCAGCCGCAGAGGCAGCCTGCGCCACACTGGGTGGTGGGAGAAAATGGGAAAGTGTCTGGGTGGCTCCCACTTGTAATCCTAGCTCCATGGGAGGCTGAGATCTGGAGGATGATGGCTCAAGGCCCGGAATCAGGACATAACCAAGGCAGGCCTCTTCCTCCCCCGTGGACCGTTCTGCATTGGACTACCCACTGGGCAGGCAGTTGCACTGGGGGTCACCGCCTCCTTCCTGCTGGGCCTCCCAAGCCAGCATTATTGCTCTCAACTGTTGGGAAGGGAGGAGAGAGGGTTAAAGCCCAGAGACAGTAGGAACTTCACTCCTGGTTGCTCAGCCTCTGAGAAGTAGATATGGAAATTTGGTCTTCAGCCTGAGGCTTCTGCACTGTGGAGACATCACCCTGTGCTGTGGGGAAGGAATTTAGTCCAGGCTTCCCTGGGAATCCCACCATCCAAGGCTGGTGATTACATGCAGGCTTGCTGGTTAGCATGGCCTTGGTGGCAAAGGGAGGGAAGGTGGTGGTGGTGGTGGTGGTGGTGAGGTGGGTCTCACCATCAACCGCAGTGCACTCTTACTACACATTCTCTGGATGGGCACCACAGGGCCAACTGAGAGCCAGACTGGAGGTTACCCAGCAGCGGAGCACCCAGGCTGAGACCCAGCTTCAGGATCTACAACAGCAAACTACCCACATCCAGGTAGGAGGCCAGTTGGGGTCAGCCCACCTGTTCCCCACTGCACCTGCCTGCTGGGTCCTGGGACACAGGCAGCAGGTATGAGCTCCCTTGGAAATGTCTCCTGGCAGCGAGGAAGGAGGGGCCCAGCAGACAGTGGGGCCCGGGGACCTTTGCTCCCTGTGTCCCACTCTGAGCCACCCTAGTCCTGCTGAGCCTGCTGAGCCACCCTAGTCCTGGCCAACTTAGCAAGCTGCCCAGACTTTGCACCCTCCGGCTTTTTTGTGCCTATGCAGAGCTCAGCCTGCACGCTGGCCTCCATGGTTTCCAGCAAATTCAGCTGCCTGCTGCAGGCCCTGGAGAAGCGGCAGGCCTTGGCACTGGAGAACATTGAGACGGCCAAGACACAGGCCCTAGCACAGATCCAGGATGAGGAGCGGCAATTACGGGGTCACCTGGAAGCCCTGACTCAGTATGGCCGCCGGGTTCACGATCTGCTGACGCAAGGAGACCATCAGACTTTCCTCCAGGTACTGAGCCCCGGGCCAGGGGGCCGGGACCTGCTTCCCTACCCCAGGTCTGGGCTCACTGCCACTGTCCCTGTGGCTCAGGAATCGCAGCAGCTCTTGGAGCCCCCAGCACCCCTAGGGCCGCGAACCCCTGTGCAGTGGGATGAGGATGAGCAGCTGAGTGACCTAAAGGAGTCTCTGAGCCCGCTGTGTGGCCTCCTCCTGGAAGAACAGCATCCACCCAGGATGCCAGCCAAGGCTGCCCACTCACTGCCCGCAGGTGAGGCAGATGCCAGACCTCTCCCTAGCCTTCGTGGTCTAGCTGCCCCGCCCAGTATGGGGAGGAGAGCATCCAGCCTCACTCCTGCTGACCTCTCCATCACTACTTTGTCCCTAGACACTGTGGGTCCCCAGGCACCGGTTTCAAGCATGCTGTGTCCACTGAGGAAGCAACTCTGGCAGTGTAAGGGGCCTGAGTGTTCATGTGTGTATGTGTGGGTGTGTCTGTGTCTGTCTGTACACATGTAAGCATGGGGGGAGGACCTGCCACCATTGCCCAGGATGTCTGTTCCATGGCCCTCCCTGGGCGTGTCCCCCTCCACCCACCCTTACAAGCCTAGTGTAGGATATAGGCCTGTCCTACCATCCTGAAGCAGATGCAGCCAGCGCAGAGTGAAGGAGGACACATGAAGATGGTGTGGATCCACACATCTAGAATCTGCTACTTAATACCTTGTTAGTTACCTCTCTGAGCCTCAGTTTTCTCCTCTGTGTGAAGAGATAGACTGTTTTCTCATCCAGGACCAGTAGCTCATGCCTGTAATTCTACCTACATAAGGAGTTGGGATCGAAGGATCACAATATGAAACCAGCCCCAGACAGGAAATTCCATGAGACTCTTTTTTTTTCTTTTTTTTTTTTTGGGGGGGTCCAGTCGTGGGTCCTGAACTCTGGGCCTGGGTGCTGTCCCTCAGCTCTTCAGCTCAAGGCTAGCGCTCTACCCCTTGAGCCACAGCACCACTTCCGGCTTTTTCTTTTTTTTTTTGCTGGTCATGAGGCCTGAACTCTGGGCCTGGGCGCTGTCCCTCAGCTCTTCAGCTCAAGGCTAGCGCTCTACCACTTGAGCCACAGCGCCACTTCCAGCTTTTTCTGCTTATGTGGTGCTGAGGAATCGAACCCAGGGCCTCATGCTTGCAAGGCATGCACTCTACCGCTGAGCTACCTTCCCAGCCCCCGGCTTTTTCCTTTTTGCTTATGTGGTGCTGAGGAATCGAACCCAGGGCCTCAGGCATGCAAGGCAAGCGCTCTACCACTGAGCCACCTTCCCAGCCCCCATGAGACTCTTATTTCCAATTAACTAGCAAAAAGCTAGAAGTGAGGCTGTGGCTCAAGTGGTCAAGTGCCAGCCTTGAGAGGAAAATCTAAGAGGCAGTGTCCAAGTCCTGAGTTCAAGTCCTAATATAGACATAAAAAAAGAAAAAGAAAATTCAGCCAGGTGCCAGTGGCTCATACCTGTCATCCTAGCTACTCAGGAGGCTGAGATCTAAGGAATGGAGTTCAAAGCCAGCCTGAGCAGGAAAGTCCGTGAGACTCATCTCCAATAAACCACCAGAAAACTGGAAGTGGCACTGGCTCAAATGGTAGAGCGCTAGCCTTGAGCTGGAGAGCTGAGGGACAGCGCCCAGGCCCAGAGTTCAAGCCCCACAAACAACAACAACAAAATTGATCTGGGGCCCATAGCAGATTTCAGCTCAGAGCTAACAGTGAATAATTCAGGGCTGGATCTGCAATTGCGTAGACAGAAGGAAAGCTTTGCTGACTTCCATCTCTCTCTTTCTCCTCAATAGATTATCGCAATCTGACCTTTGACCCAGCCAGTGCCAACCGCCATTTTTACCTGTCTCATGAGGACCAGCAGGTAACGCATCACCGCGAGCCACAGGGCCCAGCCAGGCCAGGCAGCTTTGAGCTGTGGCAGGTGCAGTGTGCCCAGGGCTTCCGGGCTGGGCGGCACTATTGGGAGGTACTCACCTCGGACCACTCAGTGACGCTGGGCGTCACCTACCCCGAACTGACCCGACGCAAGCAGGGAATGAATACAGACAACATTGGCCGTGGGCCCGACTCCTGGGGCCTCTGCATCCAGGAGGACAGTGTCCAGGCCTGGCACAACGGGAAGGCCCAGCGCCTCCCTCGGGCGTCTGGACGGCTGCTGGGCATGGAATTGGACCTGGACGTTGGCTACCTCACCTTCTACAGCTTGGAGCCACAGGCCCAGCAGCTGCACACCTTCAACGCCTTCTTCAACCATCCCGTCTACCCTGTCTTCTGGCTCCTGGAAGGGAGAACCCTCACCCTGTGCCATCACCCTGTTACTCAGGAGGCTGAGATCTGAGGATCAAGGTTCAAAGCCAGCCTGGGCAGAAAAGTCCCGGTGAGACTCTTATCTCCAATGAACCACCAGAAAACCAGAAGTGGTGCTGTGGCTCAAGTGGTAGCATGCTAGCCTTGAGCTGAAGAGCCAAGGGAAAGGCCCGGAATTCAGGTCCCACAACTGGCAAAAAAAAAAAAAAAAGAAAAGAAAAGAAAGGTCACCAAGAAGCAATGCTGAGTCATGTGATTACTTAGGCCCCACTGCTCACTGCCCAGCTAGGTAGCCGTACTCCCTATGAGTTATGAGGATCAGACGTGGAGGTGGATGTAGGCAAGTGGAGGTATGAGCGCCTTTGTTTTGGTTTGTTTTTTTGCTCTTCCAGAACATGCTTCCATGAAGATTCTATAGCATTGCTGGGTTAGGAGCAGGTTTCTGGTACTGGGAATAGAACTTAGGGCCTTTCTCAGGGCCTGGTACTGTCTCTAAGCTAACTTACTCAAGGCTAGTATATTACCATTTGAGCCACAGCTCCACTTCCAGCTTTTCTGGTGGTTCATTAGAGGTAAGCCCAGGCTGGCTTTAAGCCTTGATCCTCAGATCTCAGCCTCCTGAGAAGCTAGGATTGCAGGTGTTGACTAGGAATTGCACTTGTGGTGTTGCTGCCTCTTTGGTGAAAACTGCTGGCCCTGAATTTGCACCAATGACAGGCAGCAATGTCCTCGTCGGTACCTTGTCACTTCATATGTGGCCACATGCATCCTCTTGTTCAGGCATACTGGTTCAAACTCAGGACCTTTTATCAATACGCTTTGCTTAAAGTTAACAGGCAAAAACTAGGGCTAGAAGCCGGGTGCCTGTGGCTCACGCCTGTAATCCTAGCTACTCAGGAGGCTGAGATCTGAGGATCTCAGTTCAAAGCCAGCCTGGGCAGGAAAGTCTGTGAGACTCTGATCTCCAATAAACTACCAGAAAACTGGAAGTGGCGCTGTGGCACTGTGGTTCAAGTGGTAGAGCACTGGCCTTGGGCTAAAGAGCTGAGGGACAGTGTTCAGGACGAGTTCAAGCCCCATGACTGAGGAGCTGGATGACTTTTTTTTTAGCAGTAGCAGGGTCTGGAGCTTTCGGATGATTTGGCGGTGCCTTCTCCTTCCTCCATTGACCTTGCTATGTCAGATTTTCTCCGGCGTCCTCAGGACCAAGGGTGCAGGAGGAGGTGTGAGCGGGTTCCTGTGGATCTCACATTGCTGTTAGCCTTGCAGGCATGGAGAGTCCATTTCTAAAAGATTCCAGACATTTGCAACAACTTTGAAACATGCTAATATGAATGAGCTATCAGGATTACCACCACCCGCCCATGACTCCTGCCTGTAATCCCAGCTACTCAGGAAGCTGAGGTCTGAGGATCAGGGTTCAAAGCCAGACTGAACAGGAAAGTCCGTGACACCTATCTTCCACCAGAAAACCGGAAGTAGAGCTGTGATAGAGTGCTAGCCTTGAGCAAAAATTGCTCAGAGACAGCACCCAGGCCCTGAGTTCAAGCCCCACCACTGACAAAAAAAAAGAGAGGGGCTGGGAAGGTGGCTCAGTGGTAGAGCACTTGCCTTGCATGTTCGAGGCCCTGGGTTCGATTCTTCAGCACCACATACACAAAAGAAGCCGAAAGTGGCGCTATGGCTCATGGTAGAGTGCTAGCCTTGAGCTGAAGAGCTGAGGGACAGCGCCTAGGCCCAGAGTTCAGGCCCCACGACCGGACCAAAAAAAAAATTAAAAAAAGAAAAGAGAGATTTCCATGCTTTCCTCCTGAAGATCAGATTTTCCCAAGCAAAAGGGACAGCAGGGCTGGGAAGGTGGCTCAGTGGTAGAGCGCTTGCCTTGCATGTATGAGGCCCTGGGTTCGATTCCCCAGTACCACATAAGCAAAAAGAAAAAAAGCCAGAAGTGGCGCTGTGGCTCAAGTGGTAGAGCGCTAGCCTTGAGCTGAAGAGCTGAGGGACAGCGCACAGGCCCAGAGTTCAAGCCCCACAACCGGAAAAAAAAAAAAGACAGCAAATCTGCTGCACAGGGAACAGAGGGCCAGTGGGGCACAGGGTACCCCTTAATGTTCCCCTGGTACCACGCATGTTTGTGGTCTCCGCGTGGCCGCCAAGCCGCAGGGCAGGGAGGTGCTGGTACTGGCCCTCCAGCTACTCCTGGATCTTGGCATATGAGGGAGTGTCATGATCAAGTGCTCCTTGTGGAAACCAACGTATGGAAGTCATTATCTGCCTTCCTGCCAAGCCCGGCACGCCCAGGCCGTGTCGCCCTTGGCTGCTTCTGCCTGCACAGATCTTCTCCCACACTCGCTCTGCCCGCCTGGACTCCAGCAGCCCATGACAGCCCAGTTCAGATGCCCCTTCTCCAGCGCCCATCCTCCATCAAGCTGGTACTGGGGCTAGAATTCAGGCCTAAGTGTTCATTGTCCTTTAGCTTTTTCACTCAAGGCTGCTGTCCTGCCACTTGAGCCACAGCTCCACTTCTGGCTTTATGGTATTTCATTGAAGATGAGAGTCTCATGGACTTTCCTACCCAGGCTGGCTTTGAACTGAAATACTCAGGTCTCAGCCTTCTGAGTAGCTGGGATGACAGGCGTGAGCCACCATGCCCTGTGCACCTCTTTCCTCTAACTCTTGTTCTAAATGACCTGGTGTGTGAGGACCTCTACAATTTACATGTTGAAATCCTATCTTCCAAAGGGATGGAATGAGGGGTGGGGTCCCTAGGAGGTGATAAAAGAATGAGAGTAGAGCCCTCTTGAATGAAGTTGGTGGCCTTATAAAGCACTCCCCTTCAAACCCCCCCAACCCCTCACCCCCCAGCGCTGAGTCCTCTTTCTGCCCAAGACACAATGGAATGTCAGTAGTGCCTAGCCCTGGAGAGGGCTTTCCTCACCCCAGCTGTGTGGTTCTCTGACCTCAGACTTCCAACACCTGTTGCCAGGCACTGGTGGCTCAAGCCTGTAACCTTAGCTACTCAGGAGGCAGAGATCAGAGGATCACTGTTCAAAGCCAGCCCAGGCAAGGAAGTCCCTGAGAGTATCTTTAATGAATCACCAGAAAACCAGAAGTGGTGCTGTGGCTCAAGTGGTAGAAGGCTTGCCTTGAGCTAAAGATCTGAGTGAGGGACAGAGCCCAGGCCCCAAGTTCAAGACTCACAACCGACAAAAAAAAAAAAAAATCCATTGGAGGGCTGGGCATGTGGCTCAGTGGTAAAGTGCTTGCCTTGCATGCATGAAGCCCTGGGTTTGATTCCTCAGCACCACATAAGCAGAAAAAGTGGCGCTGTGGCTCAAGTGGTAGACTGCTAACCTTGAGTAAAAGAAGCTCAGGAACAGTGTCCAGACCCTGAGTTCAAGCCCTAGGACTGGAAAAAAAAAAAGACTGAAGGGCTACCACTTGAACCACACTTTACTTCCAGCTTTTTGCTGGTTAACTGGAAATAAGAATCCTATGGGTTAGTGGCGCTGTGGCTCAAGTGGTAGAGCGCTCACCTTGAGCTGAAGAGCTGAGGGACAGCACTCAGGCCCAGAGTTCAAGCCCCACGACCGACAAAAAAAAAAAAAGAATCTTATGGGTTTGTCTTCCCCTGTGCTGGCCTTGAACCATGATCCTTATATTTAAACCTCCTGAGTAGCTAGGATTACAAGTGTGCCCTCAATGCCCAGCTTTGGATGTGTGTGTGTGTGTGTGTGTGTGTGTGTGTTGCACAATTTTTGCTCAGAGCCAGTGCTCTACCATTTGAGCTACACCTTCAATTCCTTTACTTTGGTTTATAAACCCATATTTGTGGGACTGGGAAGGTGGCCCAGTGGTAGAGCGCTTGCCTTGCATGCATGAGGTCCTGGGTTCAATTCCTCAGTACCACATAAGAAAAAAGCCGGAAGTGGCTCTGTGGCTCAAGTGGTAGAGTGCTAGCCTTGAGCTGAAGAGCTGAGGGACAGCGCCCAGGCTCAGAGTTCAGGCCCCATGACTGGACCCAAAAAAAATAAATAAACCCATATTTGTATTATGTACTTGATTTTTGCCATTCTTTTCTTTTAAAAAATAACATTATGGAGGTATAACTTACATTAAAGTGCAGGGTGTGGTAGTACATAGCTGATACTCCAGCACTCAGAAGGCTGAAGCTAGAGGATTGTGAGTTCCAGGGCAGCCTGGGTTACATAGCAAGACCATGTCTCAGCACAAGCAAGATGCACCTTCTTTTTTTTTTTTTGGGTCGGGTCGTGGGGCCTGAACTCTGGGCCTGAGTGCTTCCCTCAGCTCTTCAGCTCAAGGCTAGCACTCTACCACTTGCCACAGCACCACTTCTGGCTTTTTTCTTTTTGCTTATGTGGTGCTGAGGAATTGAACCCAGGGTCTTGAGCATGCAAGGCAAGTGCTCTACCACTGAGCCACCTTCCCAGCCCCAAGATGCACCTTCTTAAGCCAGTACTAACCGAAGCCTCCTCTGGGGTACCCCTGGCCCCTGCCCGGCCCTCCACAGGTGTCTGCCAGTGTCCACCGACCAGGGAAGAATTCCTCCAAGAAAGCCATTGGAAAGGGAGCATGATGTCAACTTTCCATTTCAGGTCTAGAAAAGTCCACGTTCCCCAGGGCGGTAAACAGAGTCTCCAAGGGGCAAAAACATACCAATAGCAGCAGGTTTGTTGTTTTTCCAACCGTCAGCAGCTCTGAAATGTGGCTCAGAAGTGCCAGGACGGTACCACTGGAGCCTGGGGCTGGGCTGGGGTTCAGGGGTACACCCCTCCCTTCGGGCCTGAGGCTGGACTGGGGGTCAGGGGTATGCTTCTCAGCCTCCCTCCCGTGCGGCCCTCGGGGCTCCTCCAGCCCTCGATCGCGCGGGGTGGGCGGGCCGAGCCCGGTGGGGCGGGCG